CAACCGACGGCGAAGATCAGATCAATCCATGGAGCTCACCATAGTGGCATGTGAAGGAGAAGACCAAAAAGAGTGCAATGTACTTCAAAATTATCTAAAACAAGCATTTTTGTAAACTCGTTAAATTTGAACAAAGTGGTGAGTTTCAATTTCTCCTAAAAATACTTTTGATTTACCATTAGGTAAATCAAACAATTTTAATCTTTAGAATCCCTACATTTGAAATACAGCACATTAAAAAACCCTTCAACTAAATAACCTATAAGATTCACGTTTGATGACACAGATAACTCATAAAATAACTACGAGATTCAATAGAGATTTAGAGATTCAAATAATTATTAACAAATAAAAGAAAAATTATGTTAAAATTATGGTCCTGCAGTTGTTCTATCCTAGATAGATATCATGGCATGAAAATGAAGTGAAGATGCACCTTCCAAGTGTTGTGTAATTTAAGGCGAAGAAAAAACAGGAATCAATACAAAATCAGAAGGACGAACACAAAAATTTAACGAGGTTCGACAAATATGCATACATCCTCGAGAGCAGGGCAATGAATTCACTATTTCAGGAGTTACATATTCATAGAGTTACACATCTATTTATAGATAAAATCCATAGATAATTACAAATACGCCCTCACTCCCCCAAACCCACTAATCCAAGAGACACACTTCTTCACACCAAGAGACACTTCTTCATTCCAGAAGACACATCTCCCCAAATCCAAGAGACTCCAAATTCTTGGTATACGAGTCGTACCTAACAATTCTCCACCTTGGCGAATATCCAGCCCCTTAGGAGAAAATCTCCACCTTGCGAATATCCAGCCCCTTAGGAGAAAAAATCATTGAGTTTTTACACCAAAATGGGTTGCGCAACTGTGTCAACTGGCAACTGCAAACATTCAACAAGTTCAAGTAACGCAAAAACTTGTTGAAAATACCTGACTTGATTCTCTTTCCTGCTGCATTTTCATTATATGATCCGACAAAGTGAACTTCACCTACAACTGTACTCCCCAATAGTTTATAGATAATACCATCAGATTTTATAGCTCGCAATGACTTCAAAATTTCTTATTGTGCCAACAAATATTTCACCCTTGTTTGCTACAATCTGAAGTTCCTGGTTCCATCAAACTTCTTTATCACGAATTTTGCACCAAACATTGTTATTTGAAATTAATCCTACAGTGAATTTTTCATGTCTTGTATTGAAACAAAACACACCACAAATAAATTCAAATAAACCTGAAATTTCTTTTGTCAATTGCAGCAATTTTCCCGCAGTTTCCTTGATACGTGAATTAAATTTTTCACACGAAACACTTTTCATGTCCGCACAAAAAATTTGGCTGAAATACTGCGGACACCAGCCAAACTCCACATGTCACAATTTCTCATGCGCAAACCTGCGAACAATCTACGAAATTCGTGAACTCCACCTGTCGCAACTTCTCCTACGACAAACTTGCGAACTGTGCTGGTTGAACACCACCTGTCGCAACTCCTGCGACAAACTTGCGAACTTCGTTGGTCAAGCACCACATGTCGCAACTTCTCGTACGACAAACTTACGAACTCCTCTGGCCGAGCACTACCTGTCGCAACTGCACCTGCAGCAACTCCTGTGACCAACTAAACACTGTTGGTCGAGCACTACCTGCCGCAATTCTACCTGCGACAAACTTGCAAACTCTGCTGGCCGAGCACCACCTGTCGCAACTCCTGCGACCAATTTGCGAACTTCTCTGTTCACAAACACTCCTGTTCGCGATAACTGTACGCGAACTTTTATTCACAAACCCCACCTCGCCAAACTCGTCGTCACTACACCAGAGGAATATTCAAGAAAGAAAATCTTCCTATCTCCAGCCTCAACCAAAGGAAATCAGAGGGACTTCAAAGGAAAAAAAAACTTTCATTTCCTTAATTATCTTCCCTCCAGCGCCAAGGGAATATTCCTCTAGCAGGAATCAAAGATTCTTATATTCCTTCCCTTCCTCCCGGCAGGAATTTCGAGGGAAAATCCAAAAGAATATTCCTCGGGTGGAAATCAAAGATTTCTTGGTCCCTTATTCGGTCATGTATTCTTCCCGCCTGCGAACGATCCTCCTACCAGAAATTTCCTAGCCGAACGCGATTCGCGAATCCCGCTGGTGCCGCTAACCAGTGAGCAAAATACCGAAGAAGCGTGAACTGCTCATTTGCGAACTCCTCTGTGCTTGCTCTGTCGCTGAAAAATGACAAACTGCTTCTCACCGAAGCCTCTTCTTCCGCAGTAACTCCTTCCTGCGCTAAACCACCCGAAAATTCTTCCTTCCTCCTGTGTTGATCTCCTCCGTCATAGAACCTGACGCTCTGATACCAATTGTTGTGTAATTTAAGGCGAAGAAAAAACATGAATCGACACAAAACCAGAAAAAACGAACACAGAGATTTAACGAGGTTCAGCAAATATGTCTATATCCTTGGGAGAAGAGCGACGAATTTACTATTTCAGAGGAGTTGCATACCCATAGGGTTACACATCTATTTATAGATAAAATCCACAGATAATTACAAACACGCCCTCACTCCCCCTAACTCACTAATCCAAGAGACACATCTTCACACCAAGAGACACATCTCTTCATTCCAAAAGACACATCTCTCCAAATCCAAGAGACTCCAAATTCCTGGTATATGAATCATACCTAACACGAAGTTCTGTAGAAAATAATCAAATAAGATTCTTAGCATATTTTCTTCTCATACCTGTGAGTTTTAGCAAATATCCAGCACTTTTCTCACAAAACTGCCATCATGTAGCTCTTCCACTCAATCATTTGACAATCCCACTCTCTTCACAACATCATTGGCTCCCTCCATTACCTCACCATTACAAGACGAGATATTGCTTTTATCGTTAATCACCTCAGCAACATATGCAACAACCCCTTCTCACAAACTTTCAACTACTAAAATGTCTTTTACGATATATCAAAGGCACTCTCCATCTTGGTCTCTCAATTCAGTGAAATGTCTTTTACGATATATCAAAGGCACTCTACTAGACACTCCGCACATACTCCAATTCAGATAGGGCAAGAAACACTACTAACCAGCGCTCCATCGCCGGCTACTATTCCTACCATTGTAGTACTTTAGATTCATGGCAGGTCAAAAAATAACCAACGGTAGCCCATTCTTCCACTGAAGCTGAATACCGTGCTCTTGCTTCAGCAACTACCGACATCATATGGCTCTTCCGTCTCATTCACTACTTTCAAATCAACACCTCCCAACCTACAAAAATATATTGCGATAATATTTCTACAACGGCCATCGTAAACAATCCTATTTTTCAAGCTTGCGCGAAGCACATTGAGATCGATTATCATTTTATTTGAGAACATATCCATTCACAAGATATAAAAGTTTTGTGCATCCACTCCCAAGATTTGGCAGCTGACATTTTTACAAAAGTTCTTTCTCAATCTCGATTCCTTCACCTACGAGACAAGCTGCGCTTCAAGATCAAGCTTGAGGGGCAGTAAAAACTACCACCAGCCACTTCAGCATAGTAGTGGAGAGCCATCCACTGGCTCCCGGATGGCTCCTCGATCAAAGCCACATGATGATAACATCAGAAAGAATCAGCACCATACAAGAAAAATATTATGATTATCTGTAACAACCTCTGCAATGATTACATGAGAAACTCAAACTTCCATATATGCTCAATTAGTACAGAAGGGAGATAGCGTAATATATTCTCTGCTTTAGCATTAGCTTTAGCAGAAATGTCCAATTTTAGTTTTTCTCTTAGCCATTTTTTCTGCTCTATGGTTTTACTGAGGCTAGAAATTAGTTTGTATTCAGGACTTAACATGTATTAGTTTAATCATTATAATCATCTATGAGTAAATATTTTAATAAATGTCTTTTGTAAACTCCCAAACTAACCAGTGTATTTGACATAGAGTAAAGAAACGATAAGGGTAAAAGAGGAACAAAGACCTCAAGAGAAACTGTAAAAAACCGAACTTGCAATGGACTTCAACAGATAAGATAAGTGGAGTGAAATGGATTTTTTCATATGCCCAAACTTGAGCGCCAGAGGATGAATAGATTCCTAAGCCACTAAGGTCACTCGAAGACTACACCACATGCATAAAAGGCGTAATGAATGCTATCATGAGAATGAAAGTCCATGGAATGCTGATAGTGCGATTAATAAAGGAAAATAAGTTTCTATCCCTCGTAAGATACTCAATAAGGGCCAACGGTACGTATCGAAAGATCCAATTCTGGAGCCTACTCTATCTTCATCTCGAAATTCTCGACGAGTTACTGAATTAGCAAGGAGCTTCTTTTCATTCCCTCATCCTTTTTGCTGAGCAATGCAAGCGTCCAATCGAAGGGCTTAGAGAATTAGGAGACTAAATGTATATCCAAATATCGAGTCACGGACCAGACCTTCTTACCTAAAGAACTGGATTGCCGATCACCCGAACAGATCAAACTGAACCCTCCTCCGTTTCATTATTTCTGAAGAGATCAACTCATCAAAAAGACTAATTTGACTTCGGTTGTCCCAAGTGCATATATCCAACTGAAAGTAGCCTGATCAATAATAAATACATTGAAATTTTTTAGGAAAAACGTGCTAATTGAGACACAAGACACCCATAACATCACCAGGATCAAGATGCCCCCAGAAGCCTGATCTCAATATACACCAATATGGGCAATCAAACTTGATTAAAAGTAAGAACACCGCCATTTTAGGAGTTAATAAGCTCAGGCAGCACCCTAGAAAACTCGGTTTTGATACACTACAAAAACAAAGCAATAAAAGGATGAAGTTTTTCCTTGACCAGAACAACAAAACTTGAAGGGAAACAGCAGATGGCATTAGCACTCGCCATCTCCCTTCAAAAATCAAAGAAAACCTCCATCAAAATGTCTATGTTTATTCATTCCACAGTAGTTCCGCCAATTTCTCGTACCTCATATCGCCTTGATCACATGATCAAACCCAACGCCATTCTTTTCTCTGAAAAAAGCCTTCACAATTCCATCATCAGCTACCACGCAGTAGGTCTCTGACCGCAAGCCAAAACCCTCAACTCCACCAGTAAAATCTGCCGCTAATCCCATCGCCCGAGCCATCCCAGCTTCAGGATCAGACAACATCATCACGCCAGCGCTCCCATTCCAGGCAGTAAATGCGCCGATTCTCTCCCCCCAAGCCCTCATCACGAACACGTCATTAACGGAAACACAGGCTACCACCGATGCACCTCGCCTCTTCATCTCGCCAGCTCTCTTGACCAATTCTTCTGCACTCAACTTACCCGGAAACCATCGGTGGGGAGCGAAGGCCGCAGGGACGCCAAGGATGACGATCTTTCTCCCTCGGGAGAGCTCTGCGGAGGATGTAGTACGTACAGTATCGTCTTCGAGGTACGAGAGGGTCGAACAGGGGAGGCCTTCACCGATGGCGATGACGCCACGGCGGCGCTGCAACGGTGCCGGGGCGCGGAGGAGGGAAGACGTAGGGCGTGGGCCGGGCGGTCCGTAGACAGATAGGAGTGAGGAGCGGCGGGAGCGAGGGAGGGAAGAGTGGGGATTCCAGGAGACGGAGATGGTGAGGCCGCCGGAGCTGGCGGCCGTGGATGAGAATGCTGTCGTCGTCTGAGGGTAGGGCGAGGCTGTGATCGCCGGAGCGGGATGTACCGCGATGCGAAGAGTGGAGAATGCAGCGGCCATGTTGTTGACGGAGGCCGCCATTTTGCTCAGTGCCCGTTTTTCTCGGGGTGTTGGGTTTAAGAAGACGAAGAACGAATAGTTTAATGGGATCGGCTGCGAGCTTCATAATAGCACACCATTTTTCCGATCAATAGAAATCTCGCTAGAAGGGGGACCCACAAAGTTTTGGCTAATAGTCACATTTATACCTATGTTTTGTTTTCAGACGAGAAATTTGTTTTTAAATTAATATTAAAAATAAATATTTACATGTTTTCAAAATTTTAAATATAAAGATTTGATTATTCAATTTTAAAGTTTTACATTCCAACCCTTTAAAATTTTAAATATAATAAATTAACAATTAAAAAAAAGAATTATTAGAAAATAAATTTTAAATTTAGAAGATCAATTATAGTGCTAAAAAAATAATTAAATACAAATCATTAAAAAAATTAATATTTATAAAATAACTATTTATGTAATTTTTTTTTAAAATTTTTAAACTTTTGTATTTATATGTGTCACTATTAAACTATTGAGTATTTGATAAAAAATGAAAGATATGGATTATTTTTATAATGAATTTTGATATTGATTAAGAATTTGAAAAATGGATAAAAGGTGGTGGTTGATTTATAAATAATAAGTGTAGAGTGATTTATATGTAATTATCCCTTAAGAAATGCAATTTTTTCATTTAAATTTGAAGCTAATAGTTTAAGATTTTTTAATTTTATTATATAAATAATACATACAAACTAATTAAAAGTCATAAGAAAATATTATATATTTTTTCTATACTCTAATTTTTATATGTTAAAATTTATACAATAATTTTATAATAATTATTATTAAAAATATTGAGTATCATTATACAAATTAAATAATGATTATTAGCCAAGCCAAATTAATAACAAGTGTCTAGTTTTCAAAAATATGATGTTGAAATATCAATGTTTTAGCAAATATTCAAACAAGTTAAACCTTGAATTGAATTATTCGACAAACCAACAAAGCAATCTAAGTTAAAAAAATAGAAGTTTTATTATATTTTGATTAATTTTTAAATTTTATTTACCTGTATTTCTTGAATGTTCTTATAATGCTAATGATAAACCATCAACAATTTTTTATCATTCGTCGTGAAACTTGATATATGACATGAATCTCTAAGTAACTTTTTGGGCAAAAAATGTTCAATTTGCGATTAAAAATCATTTAGAACATTTGTTTAAGCAAATTTACTGTCAAACTAGCCACCTAAATGTATTGTACCCAATGATACCAAAATTATTCAACTCCGAGTCGAATCATGTATAGATCAAGTCATTAAATCACTTTTGAAAGCTTTCAGTGCATGATTACAAGACCAAACAGATTTCAAATTTAACAATGTTATTTTTGAATTGAACGTCTCGGTGAAAAGAATCCAATGAATCCAAAGTCATTTGATTTTGATATCATTAAGGCACTCAAATATTCACATAATGTTGTTTAAGCAAGTAAATCTCTCTGGGGAGCCTGTTTGAGTTGTTTGAATTTCTTACTTACTAGCATAGGGTCTCTCTCAGACTCAATAAATAAAGTCCTATCATGTTCTTGAGAGGAGTCATATACCCTGCGCCAGAAGAAGACTAGTACTTAGAGAATGAGCTGAAGTCTAGCATCACATCTGCATCGAAGACTTGACAAATACCTCTTGTTTCTGCAATCGCCAGCCATTATCAACCACCAACTTGCTGCCCCTATCGACCGCTCTCTACTTGTTGTAGTGAAGCTTCATACATATTCAGTACTTGTATTCCGAATTGAGAAGTAACAACCAACTTCACAGAGTCACAAAGAATCATCATGAATATCATGTCAACCTCAAAGACAGTTTACCAAAGCTCCAACAACTACTCTCCGTAGTGATTGATTCTTACCACAAGGCAACGAGCTCTTTTGTGTATGATCATTGTAACTCAACAAACAGTGTAACTATTCCCGCTTGTGGAACTAGGGTTTGTACATGTAATCGCTAAACTCACAGCAAATCATTTCGATTGCGCTAGACCCAATAGTTTTTCTTTTTTCGAGTTTTCCATATAAAAACTTATGATGTTTTTGCCTGTCACTTTTTGTTAGAGTTTGTATTAGATTCTCACTTCATCAAATTTGTAATATGTTTGGGTTTTTATTAAAATTCCTACCCTGTGATATATTGCATTTATTATTAACCATATTAAAATTAAAGCTACTGATTTTCCTAAAATTATTGATACAATGCTACATTGATTGAGTGGTGGGAAGCAATGCTCTCTCACTTTTTTGTTGGGAGATTCTAATCCATCAAAATAACTATTTGAGGTTATATTTATTATTGTTTTTTATCTTTCATTATTCTGAAAGGCTTGAGAAAGTAACTTAAAAATAAGAATAAACTGTGGAATTTATTATTTATCAATCAAGACTGGCAAAAGAAGTCACTACAAAGATAGTTCAATTTTAGTGCCCGTAAACACCTAAAATCATGGTCTAGAGTTCGAAAATTAACAAAACATATATCTTGCTCCTAAAAAAAGTACATGGGCATGACATGTGTGTAAGAGCCTCTAGAAGGAAGAACTTTTTACATCCATAAAAACTTTGATAAAATAGCCAAATTTGAAAAACTATTTACTTCTTTTTTCGTTAAATGAAGTGAAACAACCCTTTTAAAAACAAAAAAAAGAAACATTTTGGTAAAATTAGTTTTCAACACAAAAAAACTTCAACAAGCCTGCCCTGTTCTGGAGTTTGTTACAGGTATCAAACCCTACTACACATATATATAGATCAGAATTTAGATCGTAAGATGCGATAATTTCCATCTTCAATACAAACTGGCAAACCTTACAAGAAGGAGGGGAAAAGGATCACACATCAGGTTGCAGATTCAACAAGAGAAATTTAGATCAAGCAATAGATCGACAACAGAGAAAAGGAGAAAACAAATGTTGAGGCCATCAATGAAGAGCGAGCCACTAGCAAAAATTCAGGATGACAACATGGGCATGGCGGCTATTTCCTTCGCCTAACTCGTAATTAGTTAAATCCACTAAATATGAGGCTATAGTAAATTCAGGATTTAACTTGAAAGTGAGAAAAATAAATTTATAGAATCCGCAGATTTATCATTCTATTTTTTCGTGTTTTGTTGTGCTTAGTCGAAATCCACTCGTAAATCCTAATAAAGGTGCTCTACCAAACACCCCCTAAATGTTATGAAATCTTGTGGCACAAAGTTAAACAAAATACTTCCACATTTTGGAGCGCATTGTTGCATCTAGCTACTATAATCAAGAATAATTCATTTTTTAAGGTTACTACCTTCAGCAAAATTATATTATTTTATGATCAATGGCTTAATGGAACATTTCTTTAGGAAAAAGGTGATAATCAATTCATTTTCTATTTTTATTGAGTCAGTTTTATGAAAGTTTTGGAGTTGATTGCAAATAATATGTAAGTTATGCCTACTATCAAAACTGTTATTGAATATTGCATTCATCTTAATCACAATATCCATATTTTGAATGCTTATAATATTTGATTTTTGAAGAGTAACAACTTATTATTTAACTCTCATGTTTTCTTCTACTCTTATGAGAATAATCCTAAAAATGATTCGTGAAACTTAATTTAGTTAAAAATCTATTCCTTTAAGTATGTTGTTAAAATTTAAAAAAAAATAATTAGAGAATTTAAAAGCAAAAAAAATGTTCTTTCTTTTAAAGGATTGCACTTTAATGTTGAACGTGTTATTCTCTGTACCGAACATAAAACTGTCATTCACCTATTTTTTGAATGTTCTCCATCAATCTCCCTTCTCAAGCAATGTATATCATTAGAAAACTTCTTTAATATTAGGTGAAATCTTGCTTAAATTCTAGTACATATTGATATGTTTTATTGCATGTTAACAAGAAATTTTGTATTATTTGTCGTTCATATTAAAGAACATTATCTCTGGTTGGAAATGAATGTTAGAGTCTTGAATAATGTTAGCTCACACATTAATAAACTTATCAATAAATTTTATTTGCTATTAGCCATAAAAGCAATAAGTGAAAAATTAAAGGTGAGTTTTCCCAACATTATTTGAAAGCTATATTTTAAATGAGCATTCCATTGTTAGTTTTTGAGATTGGTACTAAGGGAGCTAATTCTTTGATAAATTAATTATCTCTGATGTTGCATACTTCCTATTATTAGTTGATGGTTTAGATTTCATTGAAACAGTGTGTTTCTGCTAAAACATATAACTATGACATCATTGCCTTCTCTATTATGATGATATCGACAGCCATTATTCTCATTATTTTGCTATCCTTTCTTCTTCTTTCGAAGATTATTGATATGTCTGAATACTATGTTTGTCATGACTTATTCATCAACAGTCAACTTCTCTATTTTTTTTCTTTTTTGTTTGGATTCTCTCGAACAGATTCTACACATATTATATGGGCTCCATGAACATATTCTACACTCGATTTAGCTTTGAGCACTTCTTTGATGTTGTTTAAGCTACATTTCTGGAGTTATTGTTGGGTGTAGTTGGACTTCTCTCCATACAATTATACAATTCAATTTTTAAGAGCTATGATAATTCTAAATCAACTTATTTAATAGTCATATATCACCATTCATTAATTCTTGATATTTAAAGATTTTTTTATATTGCATCCACTTTTTTCTAATTTTGAATACACAAGAGTAGGATTAAAACATTTGTCATCAACAATTTTAATATATATATATATATGTGTGTGTGTGTGCTTAGGATTAAAACATTTGTCATCAACAGTTTTAATATATATATATATCTCTGTGTGTGTGTGTTTTATCCGGTCTAATTTTATTATAGTATACTTTGGTGTTTTATCCGGTCTAATTTTATTATAGTATACTTCAATCTATCTAACATACATAGCTAGTAAAAAAAGCACAGCTAAAAATTATTCAAATAATTTTTTGATATAGTTGAAAATTGTGTATGAGAATAGAGGCCATAGAAGAGGGTGGGCGGTCTGATCCTTTAATGGGGTGGGCCAGTGCTGTAATCGAGCCGAGTCCATCACAGTCCAGACTTGGCTTCGTATAATAATAAGTTGTTCATGTTTGGCTTGAGCTTGTGTCGAGTTTTCATATATTGTTGAAGATTGATTTATTTAAATTATTCAACGGTTGAACTTGATTTATTTATGAGAAGTGAACGTGTATTTAAACGAGCTAAAAAATTAAATAATTTTATAAATTTAATCACAACTATTAATTTATTGATTAAAAATTCTAATCCCTTCAGTATCTTAAATCTCATTTCTTCTTCATTTCACCATAAATCCCCTACTTATGAGTGATTTAGTAAAATAATTTGTATAGCATTTATACATGATTTAACTTAAATCCCACCAAACAACTAAAAATGACAACTTTAAAACCTACATAAATTTAATATCTACGTATTTATATATTATATATACAATATCATCAAGCTATCAATAAATCAGTTAATATATACGTATTTATATATAATATAAGCTATCATCGTGCTTTATATCGAGTACTTAACAATTTATTTGTTGAACTACAAATGAGTTTATTTGGGAACATAAATGAATAAGTTTAACTATATGCATGTGTAATTTTTTAAGCATCAAAACTTTAAAATTATTCAAATTGATTTACTTACTAATATGAAGGAACATGATCCAATATTATTTGAGTTAGAGTCCAGTAATTCATGAATTGCATTGATTCATTTACAGCACTCGGGTGGCCTGAAACATGGAAGACTGGTAAAGCTGTGTGGGGCCCATCAGCTTCAAACCCTAATCTCTCATGCTGGGGTTTACAGGATGGGGAGAGATGAAAAGAGCACATCAGAAGAGATGGCTGTCACTGCTCACAAAACCTTTATTACTGTGCAGCTGCAACACAAAATCACCTAAACACAATGAAAGCCACACTCTACAAGCACCAGATATCAAGCACCCGAAACCGCACTCGCAAGTGGCCAAGCAACGCAGAAAAGGGATGGCATGGGATACACAGCAGTGTAATAATTAGGCAGGGCCCGTTTGCAGGGCGTGTGAGAGGTGAAACATGAAGCTGTCGGTTGTTAAGGACTGAAACCCTTCTCTCTTCTTCCATCTCTCCTTCTCTTCCCCCCTCGCACTAATCCAAACCCATCTCCACATCTTAGTGAGGGTCTAATCCCAGCTTTTGCTTTATTTCCCCCTAACTTTAGATGGCTGGTAGGAAACCAAAACTTAATGCACTCACTCCGATATGCTTCCCTCAGTGCTGCGCTTCCATGTCAAGTCTCCTTCTTTCCGTCTTCTTTCTCTTCTTTTCACTCTCGCCATCATGTGGGTCTCTCTCTCAAGTCTAATCCATAGCAAGCTGAATCCGGAACATGGCTTTCTGAGCTGGGGGCCTGAGCAGCTGGAAACTACTATTGATAAATTTTAAAGAAAATTAGTCTTTTGCCTTTGCTTTTGCCTTTGCCTTGCCTTTGCCCCTTCGCTTCGATCTTCTCGGTTTGCATCGAATTGGCGGCCTCATCATGCAGATCAGAGATATTTGATGCGAAGGCCAGAAACCAACTCAAAAGTTCCCATCTTTATTTTCCGATGGAGGAGAAAAACAAAACTTTCATGTAATCAGCAGCTGGTTTGAGAAGGGGAATAGAGAGATCTCCATCTGAGAAAACATAAAAAAGATGGATTTTAGAAGACAAAACGACGACGACGATGACGATGAGACGGTGAGTTATAACCCTCCAACCATCCGGGATTCTGCTTTCCCCAAACCTATTCTGCCTTCTTCCTCTTCTCTCATCCCGGGGGGAACCGTCCCCACAATCGGAGTACGGAATGGCATGAGGTCTTCTTCTCCAGATCTTTCTCTCGCGGCTGAAAGCGGAAAAGGAGAGGGTTCAAACTTTCGAACGACGGGGATTGCAGGCGAGCCGTCTTCGTTGAAGTACCGCGAGTGTCTCCGCAACCATGCGGCGAGCCATGGCGGTCACGTGCTCGATGGATGTGGTGAGTTTATGCCTGGCTCAGCCGACACCATGAAATGCGCCGCTTGCGGATGCCATCGAAGTTTCCACCGCCGTGAGGGAGAAAGCGACCATCTTTTCTACCGCCACCACCAGCACAACGGCAGCAACCACTCCGGCGGAAACAGGGTAGCCGCAGGGGGAAGAATCCCTCTCCTTCTTCCAGCCCCTCAGTTGGCGCCCCATCAGAAGCACATCCATTGCTTCTCGCCGAGCCCTTCGGCGGGAATGGTGGCCTTCGGAAACACCAGCGGAGGGACGACCACCGAGTCGTCTAGCGAGGAGCTCGGACTCACGCCAGCGGGAGCCATGCCCGGAGGCTTCCATATGCCGCCATTTGTGACTCCATCCTCCAAGAAGAGGTTCAGAACGAAATTCACTTCGGAGCAGAAGGCGAGGATGATGGATTTTGCGGAGAGGATTGGGTGGAGAATTCAGCGGCAGGATGAGGTGGACCTGGATGCGTTCTGCGCTGAGGTTGGTGTTAGCCGCCAGGTTTTTAAGGTTTGGATGCATAATAACAAGCATTCTATTAGAAAGCAACAGGAGCAGCAAAACCGAGAGCTTCAGCAGCCGCTGCAGCAGCCTTAGAAGCTGTGAGGAAATGAGAGTTGTTTGCTTCTCTACGCAGAAGAAACAAAAACACTTCTTTGTGGCTTTCTAATCCCTAATTAAAGCTGTGTCATTTTTCATTTCTATGCTTGGTGTTGGGATGTGAGAACTTCTTCTTCTTCTTCTTCTTCTTCTCCTCTGGTTTTTTCCATCTCTTCTGGTTTCTTATGTCCGCATAAATTAATGTTCGGTTGCCAAGGAAAAGAAGTGCCAAACCTCTGAAACCTCTTATACCTGCAGGCTTTCTTCCTTCATGCTTCAGTTGCTGCTGTGCTCTTCATCATCTTTATGCCCTAATTAGAATTAGTTCCCAATCTTTATCTTCGGCATTTGCTCTCCACCTATATGTTTATTTAAGTAATGGCTTCATGTCTGGGTTCTCCTATTAGCTAGGGTTAGGATCCTAAAAACCTACTGCTTTTACTTTTTAATTTGCATTAAGATCCTAACAATATTACTATTATTATTATTCTGCTTGCTGTTTGTGATTGTTTTGAAGTATTTGATTTGGGTTGTAAAACTTTGTTTTTTACTGGTTTTGTCTTATATGGACTGTATCATATAACCTTCACAGCTGCTCCTCCTTATTAGGGTTAACATTATGGCTGTCATTTAAAATTTTAGCTCATTCATTTCAATTTGTTCTTGATTTGAACAACTTTGAACCAATTTTTGAGTGATTAATGATCTAAGAGCTAAACTCGTTACATTCACAGTCATATATGTTAATTAACGATCTGATTTCAAGTCGGGTTGGATTCGCTAAAAAAAAAAGAGATCCAAAATTTGTTCTCGCACCCCGAATCGTTTATTTTGAACAGATCTCATCCAAGCTAAAATTTGAATCAATGTTCGAGCGATCTATGATCTTCGCATTAAAATCACAGCCCTACTCCTAACACTATATCTAGGGCTCATACAGTACAATGCAGAAAGTAAAGCGCTGCGATCAACATGCAGTAGAATATCGTACTTAATATACTTGTCTTTATAATAATAATACTGGGAAGCTGTTACCGGGATTGAGCTTTCCATGTTCCAAGAAGTATTTATGGCCTCATATCAGCGTTATAATATGAAATATGTTGGTAGTTATTATTATATAACTCTATGATCCCCATTATTAGGGTTGCACGTCTTTTAAAGCGGATTTTATCTATGTATTTTAAAGTGATGATTTGGTGTGGGATCAGCACCAAAGCAACATCTTTCATGTCTATTAGTGCTTCACTAAGCTTTTACCTTTGCAGGCTCTCGGAATCACTGTGCTTGGTTGTGTTTAATATTCATTTTGCATGAGATAATAATGTCTTAGAAAATATTTTCGTCTAGCCGCAGTGCATTGTGCTGTTGAACACATGAAATGTTATATCGGTCCTCCATTTTGTCTCTGTGGATAGAGGAGAAAGAGGGAATAGGATTGTATCATGAGAGGAGCAAGGAGGTCAACTGTTTCAAATACACAACATGGATTGTGGCAATGCAATGAAGTTCCTCATTTTGGTCTGAATGAATTAGTCTTCCTAGAGGGGGGCCATCTTTGCTTGTCAGGCAAGAGAATAATAAGTTACAAATTCCGTCTCTGTCACGGTAGGACGTGTATTTATATTACTTATATTACTATTTAATTCATAAATTAAAATGAAATAATTAATGATAGACATTAATCTTTTTTATTGCATTTGTTCCTAAGAAAAGGGCGTTGAAACACGTGGAAACTCTGGAATGGAAATGGAAAAGAAAACTAATTCTAGTTCTTTCAGAAATGATACTAAGATTCTTGGGACAAAGTATAGTGAAGTTGAACTCTACAATTATATCTTATATGTTTGGAAAGTGTCTGAAATTCATATGCATCTTAATTTCATATATAATAATATTGTATATTATTATATATAAATGTAGTATATATAATATAAGAAGATTATTGTACGTAATGTGGCTAAATATTTGAGGGGCAAAAAGGAGAAAAAAAAAAAAAAAAAAGGCTATCTTAAAGATTATAAATGACTAGTATACTCCTTTCCAAAATTTCCGTTAATGTGGAAATATTACAATAGACTTTCTTATATATATTTTTGGGCATTTACATATATACCATAAAAATGTGATTTATTTGCATATCTAATGTCTAAACTTCTATAGTTATACTTATTAACATCATAGCATTGATATCACCATTATTAATTTCTTAAAAGCAAACATGTACAAATTTTTTACACCAAGATGTTATAAATATAAATACCAAAATTTAGGCGTTAGAAATGTAAATACATATAAATTGTGGGGTATATATGTAAATTCTAGCAAAAAATCATTTGATATATGGCAAAAAGAGTTTCATTTAGTAGCATTAAGAGCATATTTAATATTTTTTAGTCTTTTATAGAAAGCATAAAGGGGTTCACTGAAAATACTAAAAAGGTTGTGGTACATACAACAATAATTTTTAAATATGAAGTTACAATTAAATCTATTGATGCCTCCCATGATTATTTTACTTGGAGATTAATTTGATGAAAGGGAAAATAATACATAAAAGGAGTTTAAGGAAAAGTAATAAAAGCATGAGTTATTATAGAAAGCTCTATCTATAAGGCTTTGAGGCTCCATTTGGGGTAGCTTATTTGGCGCAGTGTGTTTTGAAAACGCACTCAAACCTATTTGGGTAAATTGTGTTTTGGCAGCTTATTCAAAAAGTTGAGTTTTCAAACCATTGAAATTTGTTTTTTCACACCGTTTCTGGCTAGGTGTGGTTACAACTTTCTAACCGCGGTCTTGCTTTTCCAAAAAAAAAAATAAAAAAAATATTGTAATAGCTGTTGTTGCTTTTTGAATGACAAATTATTTTTCTGCAGCTTATTATCAGCTTGCTGCTACCCCAAACAGACCTTGAATTTGACCAAGATTGAACAAAATATGAGCAAGCTCATGTGAGTAAGCTCAAAAATACTAATATGATCTATCCAAGAGTTAATATCCACCACTTTGCAAGAAAAGGAGAAATACTACCAAATTTCTCTTCCACATATTTAATATAGCTAAAGTTTCACATGATGAAACATGAATCAACAATGGATGCTAAAATATCTTAATAAAACTATGTAATAACATTTATCCATAACAACTTTTTTAGCATATACAATTGTATTAAAGAACATATTAGATGTGTCTCGTATTCCGACCTGTTGGTTGACATCCATTGTATAATACCCCTCAAATCAAGGTTTCGAATCCTCTTTGGCACAGTTGGTCTTAAGGAGGTGGTACTCGAATTATTAGACACATTACGGGTGGTTGAAGGCTTGTATAATAGCCTCTCATCATTTCTTTTGAATAATAATAATAAAAAAAACATAGTAGATGGAGTATACTCCATCCATCCATGGATAAAACATCCATGAGATGCAAGAGCAATAATTAACTTCCTTAGTGAAATGTTATACTTCCTAAATGAAATAATTAAATCACATAAAGAACAAGTAGAATATTGGTTTTTTAATGACAAAATATAAACCTTATAACGTTTGACAAAACTCCTTCAATCAATGATACAAGTATCACTCTATATACCTTTTTACTTCTAGGTATTTTGGATAAATTAATTGGTAATCATTGATTTTTAGCTTGTAATCTAGATTATCAGCTGAATTTTGTAAGCTAAAAAAGTCTTCTCCTTAAACCATTAACTTAAAATAAATCTTAATCATTTTTAAAGCTTAATCATGGTATACCAATAAAAATATTAAAATAAAGAGATAATTCAATAAAAAACTTAAATAAAACATCTTATCATTATCATTAGGATTAATATAAATATGAAATAATTTTTCTTTTTTTTGGGAATTTATGTTTTTTATATTTTCTTATTCATATCAAATATGTTTTAAATGCTAAACCCTAACTATCACATCATGAGAAATATATAATAGTATAAGAACATTTTAAAATTTCCTTGGAAAGCATCAATGTAATGGCATCCACCCACTAGCCTTTCCCAATCAATAATATTAATTAACATTAATTAAGTGATAAGATAAAAATATTAAAAATTATTATTTTTCAAATATATTTAAGACTTAGAAAATTAACCTACATTATCACACACTTATTATTATAACCATTTATTCATTTTTATATTTAAATATTTAATTAAATTTTGAATTGTATTTGTATTTTTCAATACTTAATTTTTATACTTATAATATTTTAGACATGTAAATATATTTTTATTTTAATTTAATAAAAGTAATATTTTTATTATATCATTAAATACTAGAGTGTCATTTACATAAATAATAAGATTAATGCCCAATTTATGTAAATGTCTCATTTAAACATTAAGTATGATATAAATTCGCTTAATTTTTTTGTATAATATTTTAATACTACAAATTAATTAATTTAAGACGTCATAAAAAAGGAGCGTTGGGAACATGCACCACCTCGAACAACACGCTTCGAGAATGGGATGTCCCTAGCCATAGGATCCGCTGCCTTACCTCGTTTATTGTACAGATCTTTTTTTAACGGTCAGGATTTTAGTCGGATAGACTTTTCAGAAAATTAATTTAAAATTCATACTTTTTGACGTGGCATACTCGCAGCCATTTGCAGGGAAGAGAATAAAGACGGAATATTAAGCAGGAAGGCGCCTATTTAAATAAATAATTATAAATATGCCCTAGAATATTTTAAGTTGCAGGAAGGCGTGGGGAGATGCCACACAAGTAAACTCAGACATCAGCACATGCGTAATCGGACTGGGATAGTCTTGTAATTATATTTTAATACAAAAAAAAGTTGGTAATGATAAGATTGCAATTTTAAAGAATTAATTTGAAGAGAAATTATTGCGTACAGAGAGTGCACGCAAGCTGCGTATCGATCACAGCCGCACATCAATCATTTCTTTAAGTGGGACCCACTGACATACAGAGATGGTTGATGTGCGACTGTGATTGAAGAGCGCATGCAGCTCTGCATACGCTTTTCGTACGCAATAATTTTTATTCTTTTGGGATATGTAAATTAATTTTTATGATTAAAAAAAGCTCAATTTCTATGTCTTTACATATTAAATATGTAAATTTTTTTTTTTTACATTTATACCATAAAAAGTTTTATGTCATATAAAAAATGCCACCATATTAGCTTATAAAAAGTGAAATACTCATTTTGAGGTATATGCATTTAAAATTAAAGTTTTTGTGGGATATGTAAATACATAGGATTTGAGTGGGGTGTTTTGTAAATCTCCCTTATTTTATTTGATTTTTGGTTGAGCAAAATAGGTCATTTAGAATACAATACAAGGTAAATTTTTAATATTAATCTTTAAAATATTTTAAAAAAACTATTAATTTTTTTTTCCCTAAATTCTCATTCAAATATCAATGGTCATGAATAAATTCTCACTCAAATATCAATGGTTAT